TCTCTTTGAATCTAATCACTCATTCTTTTGGCAGGTCATTGCTGATAATGTCGGTGACAATGTTGGGGATATTGCTGGTATGGGATCTGATCTTTTTGGTTCATATGCTGAATCATCCTGTGCTGCTCTTGTTGTTGCTTCTATCTCTTCTTTTGGCAACAACCATGAGCTGACACCAATGCTCTATCCACTCATAGTTAGTTCTGTGGGTATCCTTGTTTGCCTGATCACCACCTTATTTGCTACTGATTTCTTTGAGATCAAGGCTGTTAAGGAAATTGAGCCAGCATTGAAGAAGCAACTCATAATTTCCACTGTTCTAATGACCTTTGGAATTGCCGTTGTTACTTGGCTAGCTGTTCCATCAACATTCACCATTTTCAATTTTGGAACTCAAAAAGTTGTACAGAACTGGTTAGTGCATCTTGAATTATTGTCTTACAATTGCTTTTTCTTTATCACTATTGGTTTGATTCACCAGAAAACATTTGGCATTCAGGAAACTTTTCTTGTGCGTTGCTGTCGGTCTTTGGGCTGGGCTTATAATAGGATTTGTGACAGAGTACTATACTAGCAATGCGTACAGGTAATTGAGTTTTGGGCATTTACCTAGTCGATCCTCAATGATTCAATTACTTTTGTATAAAATCTGATCACGGATTTGGTTTGGTTTTTCAGCCCTGTGCAGGATGTTGCTGATTCCTGCCGAACCGGAGCTGCTACAAATGTTATTTTTGGCTTGGCTTTGGGATACAAATCTGTCATTATCCCCATTTTTGCAATTGCAGTTAGCATTTTTGTTAGTTTCACCTTTGCTGCAATGTACGGCATTGCTGTTGCTGCTCTTGGAATGTTGAGTACAATAGCTACTGGTTTGGCCATTGATGCATATGGTCCAATCAGTGACAATGCTGGAGGCATTGCAGAGATGGCAGGCATGAGCCACAGAATTCGGGAGAGAACCGATGCCCTCGATGCTGCCGGAAACACAACTGCAGCCATTGGAAAGGTATTTTCTTTTATTCTTTTCGTCTCAATTGTAATGTCTGTATTGTTTCTTTATCACAATTTTTGCATGAGAAGCTTGCTTGCAGTCGGTAGTAGCTTATTCTTTATTTGCATTTTCCAGGGTTTTGCCATTGGTTCAGCTGCTCTTGTGTCCCTTGCCCTCTTCGGCGCCTTCGTCAGCCGTGCTGGTGTCACTTCTGTTGACGTCTTGACACCCAAAGTTTTCATTGGCTTGATCGTAGGTGCTATGCTGCCGTACTGGTTTTCTGCCATGACAATGAAGAGTGTTGGGAGTGCAGCCCTAAAGATGGTCGAGGAGGTGCGAAGACAATTCAACACCATCCCAGGTCTCATGGAGGGCACTGCCAAGCCCGACTACGCTACATGTGTCAAGATCTCAACTGATGCTTCTATCAAGGAGATGATCCCACCTGGTGCCCTTGTCATGTTGACACCCCTAATTGTCGGTATCCTATTCGGGGTCGAAACTCTTTCTGGCGTCCTTGCTGGATCTCTTGTTTCTGGCGTTCAGGTATGTGATGGCCTGTTAAAACCTTTGCTTGAACCTTATAATGCCACCATCTAACTGATGGTTCTTGTTGTGCACAACTGTAGATCGCCATCTCTGCATCCAACACCGGAGGTGCCTGGGATAACGCTAAGAAGTACATCGAGGTATGTCGAATCCCATAGTCATCTTTACAATGTCGTAATGATTTCATAGTACAAGATGTAATAGCAAGTTGGTGTTATGGATAGGCTGGTGCCTCTGAGCATGCAAGAACCCTCGGCCCGAAAGGATCAGATCCACACAAAGCCGCTGTTATCGGCGACACGATCGGAGACCCGCTCAAGGACACCTCCGGGCCTTCTCTCAACATTCTCATCAAGCTGATGGCTGTGGAGTCCCTTGTGTTTGCTCCTTTCTTTGCCACTCACGGTGGGCTTCTCTTCAAGCTCTAGAAAAAGCAAGAGGAATCTTTGTTCGAATGCCATCCTCTCCCTTTCCCTCCATTGACATAACCTCTCTACCTCTCCTCCACGAAATTTTCACTGTGTTTTTTAGACTTGGTATTATATGTTAAAGTCTGTAGCTTTTGATTGATATTCTCTTTTGAGAAGCTTGTAGTTTCAAGTGGAAGAGCCTTTTACCTTTTTTCATCGGTTGTTGATGAAGAAGAAGAAGAAGATGAAGAAGAAAAGAAGAGATATTAGTTAAATCTTGTGAAATGAGACTGCAAATGTTATTCTCTTTTTCCCAATTGAGAACCCTTTTCATACTCTCATTTTTTGTACTTTTACTGTTGTAATTGTGAGATCTTACCTCGGTTGGAGATGGGCTAAAGTGGACAATATCTACTAGCAGTGAGATTAATCTTATTTGCCCATCACATTTTAATACCAATTTTGGAATGGAAATATATATTCACGTTATTGTTTCTACAACAAACTTCAAACAAAGTTTTATTTAAAATACAACCAAATTTTACCATTTCGTAAGATTTTATTCCTACATACGTTTGTAGAGATACCAAATTTAGATTCTTGCTGTTTCGATTGGTCTTCGGCCTCGTTGGTAGTACTCGAAGTAAAGGTCAACTAAGTTCTTAACAGGCTTGTACGATCTTGGTTGAGTTTCATCGATGAGCGTCTCTAATGGTCCAACTTCTTTCTTAGAATCTGGGACATAAAACACGGCTAGAGATATCCTCTCGCTCTTTGAATTCGTCAATACCCTATGAACTGGACTTTTGAATATCCCGTTACTTGCAATCTGCCAAATTACGAGCATATTTCACCGTAATTTTAAAATAAATATTTTTATGATGTTACATATTAGATACTTTTTAAAGTTTAATGGAGCAGTCTAAGCTCACTTCTAATAGATATTGTTCGTTTTGGCCCGTTACATTGTTTTAAAACGCGTCTACTAGGCAGAGGATTCCACACTCTTATACGTAATGTCTCGTTCTCCTCTCCAACCAATGTGAAATCTCACAATCCACCCCCCTTAGGGGCCTAACGTCTTCACTAGCACACCGCTCGATGTTTGCCTATGATAACATTTGTAACAGCCCAAACCTTCGCTAACAAATATTGTCCACTTAGGCCCGTTACGTATCGCCGTCAGCCCCAAAATTTTAAAATGCGTCAAGTTTCCACACCGTTATAAAGAATAATTTGTTCCCTCCCCTACGAGATCTCACATTTAAGGAGCTAAACTTTGAAACTAACCTAATTATACTTAGGGTTTACCTCGACTTGATCTCCGACAAGGACGAGAAGCGCGTCGGGAAGTATCGAGGCATTGAACCACTCATCCCCTTTCAAGAACTGAAGCCCTTCAACTTGCTCGTCCTGCAGCAAAACGGTGATGGCCGATACATCAGCATGAGGCTTGGCACCAAGAACAAGATCAGGATTCGGACATGGAGGGTAGAAATTGAAGCGTGCAGCCAATTCAAATCGCTCACCAAACTGTTCCACAAAGCTATTCTCTTCCAAATCCAATGATCTTCCCATGGCCTTCAAGATTTTCTCACATACCACTCTCATATTAGCACTATACTCATCAATAACTTCCCTGAAATCAATGTTCAACATTCAATGTTCTTCAATCCCATTCAAAGCTGTATGATTTCAAAGCAATTCCAGAAAATTACCTAAATCTGTGAGGATTTGATGGCCAGTGCTTAACACGACGGCTTTCTTCTGGGAACAGAGTGAGGAACAAACGATGATTCCAATCAAGAATTTGGGTGTCGGATAGAACCTTGTCGTTGCCGTATCCTTCAATCTCAGCTTCTTCCATGGAGTATTTCAGCTTCTCTTCCATTGGACAAGAGAAGAATTGTTTGATTACGTGGCGAACATCCTCCAGGAATTCAGGAGACATTCCATGGTTTATTCCCTGAAACAGAGCATCATTTTTTGAAACATTCGGTTAAGAAAATCTAAATGTTCCAGAAAGTTGGGGTGAAATCGAACCAGAATGCAGCCCCATGTCTGGAGTCCATGTCGGAGTTTCTCCAGCTCCGGCCCGGAATTGGGGGAAGCTGAGAGGAGGCCGATATCAATGACGGAAGCTTGCATTAATGGAGCATCCGGAGCTCCCCGATCCCTTTGTTTATGGATGTAGCCTTCCGGCACTTCCGCTTTAGAACCCATTTCTTGGACGCTGCTGGAAGGGTTGCTTCCGGCCATGGAGGATGGGGCAGCAACAAGACAAGGCAACGACGGCGCAGCAATGATGAGCAGCTCTGTAATGGCTTCTCTCCTGGATTGAAGACAAGGCAAGTAGACGTGGCGACATTAAATTGAAGGCGCCGACAACTTTTAAGACACCTGGCGAGAATATTATTAAAAATTTGTCACGCCAATTAATGAAAATATGTTTTTGATAAAATGGATAAGAAGTCACAACGCGCTATTCAATGACGTTGGGTTTGAACGGTTATAAATAGTATTAAAGGTAGACACCGTGCAGTATGCCAGTGAGGATGATGCCTCCCAATGCGGGTCTTTATTTTTGTTTATATTATTTGATTGAGACATTAAATTTGTTTGTTCCATTGTCGATGTGTTAAATATTTTTCATGACCAATAAGAAAAGGATATGAACTAACATGGACACAAGAGAGTTGAATACCTCGATATAACCTGGATGAATGGATGTTCGAGATGTTCCGTGCCGCGATGTAACCCGGATAGATGGATATTCGAGATTTCCTGATGACGTCTGGTGCCTTGATGTAACTCAAATAGATGGATGTTCAAAGTGTCCCAATGACATCCTGTGTCCAATGCTTCGATATAATTCGAATGGATGGATGTTTGAGATGTCCCAATGATGTAAACGACACTTAGGTTTGTTCTTGATGACCATAACCAAATAAGTTATGACGATCTTATTCCTAAGATATGGCGTGGATATAAGTCCATACAAAACTCGTCCAAACAAGAACCTCATAGAACAAATTGGAAGAAAAACATAAACAAACAAAATAAATTATGATTCCATTGATTCCATTGACTAAGATTGATACCAAATTTAGATTCGTGCGGCCTCCATGGGCCTCTGGCCCTGCTGGTAGTACTGAAAGTAAAGGCCGACGAAGTTCTTCACAGTCTTGTACAACCTTGGTCGAGTTTCATCGATGAGCTTCTCCAATGGTTCGATTTCTTTCTCCCAATCCGGAAGGTAAAACACTGCCAACGATATCCTCTCCCTCTCCGAGTTCGTCAACACCCTATGAACTGGACTCTTGAATATCCCATTACTCGTGATCTGCCATGAACATGTTTGTGAAAAATTTTGAGGAAAAGAGGAGAATATCTACTAGCTATGAACGAGAGTGTTTGTTTACCTCTGCTTGATCCCCGACATTGATGAGAAGAGCGCCAGGAACGATCGGGGCGTTGAACCACTCATTGCCGTTCAAGAACTGAAGACCTTCTACTTCCTCATCCTGCAACAAAATCGTGATGGCCGATCCATCCGCATGCGGTTTCACGCCAAGAACAAGATCCGGATTTCGACATCGAGGGTAGAAATTGAACCGTGCGTCCAGTTTAACTTCCTCACCATACTGTTTGATGAAGCTATCTTCGTTTAAATCTAATGAAATCGCCATAGCTTTAAGGATTTTCTCGCTTAACAGCTTCACATTTGCAGTGTACTCGTGAAGAACTGCCCTGCAATGTTCATCACAAAAATCAACTCGTTTCTGCAGATTCTTCGGAAAATCGTGAAGGTTTGAGAAAAGTACCTGAATCTTTCAGGATTTGTTGGCCAGTACTTGAATCGATGGCTTTCTTTTGGATATACAGTAAGGTATAATCGATCAGTCCAATCGAGAATTTGTTGATTTGATAGAATCATGTCGTTTCCATATCCTTCAATCTCATCTTCTTCCCTCGAGTATTTCGATTTCTCTTCCATTGGAAGATCAAAGAACTGTTTCGCTAATCTACGGATTTCATCCAAAAATTCCGCTGACATTCCATGATTTACAACCTGTTTGAATACCAGAAACCTAGCGATTTTTTTTAATCTGATTTAAATCGACTTACGATCGTTTTGATGAGATCTAGATGCAGAGTCAATGGACTAGGTCGACCGATTAGGGTTTAAGAAATCGAACCTGAAAGCAGCCCCATGATTGAAGTCCATGGCGGAGTTTCTCCAGTTCTGGTCCGGATTCGGATGAAGAGGAGAGGAGAGCCATATCGATTACAGGAGCTGCCATTAAAGGAGCATCTCGAGCTCCTCGATCGCTTTCTTTATGGATGTATCTTTCCGGGACTTCTCCTTTAGAAGCTACATCTTGGACGGTGCCGGAAGGGTTTGTTCCGGCCATGGCTGGTGGTGCAGAAGCGACGGAGTTCTGCTGTTCCGGTTGCAAAACAGAGATCATTACAGAGCATTTTAATCGGTTTAGAACTGAAATTGGATTTGTCAACTGCAATCTCGAGAAGACACTAAAAAATTATTTTCTTGACTCTGGACTTGTTATTGTATTAATTTCAACCTTAAAATTTTAATTTCAGGATGAATTTTGTAGATTTTATGATATGAACTCATATTTAAACCTTGTAACTTTCAAACTTGTATGAGTGTTTATAGTTAACCTCTGATTATGTTTTTTTTTCTCTTCAGTTTCAATTATAGGGTAGGAATTTACTTGCTTTATCGACTCTCGGTAGAAACAAAGATTATTTGTATAGCTTTTTCCCGTGCCTTAGAAGTTCCATTCTAACAGTTTAAGCCCACCACTAGCAGCTATTGTTCGTTTTAGCGTGTTATATATTGACGTCAGTCTTAGGGTTTTAAAACACGTTTACTAGTTCTCGAAACATTCTTTCCAAACGTCAACTATTCTCTCCAAACATCAGTCTTAGGTTGGAGAGTGGAACGAAACATTCTTTATAATGGTGTGGAAACCTCTCCCTAACATACGCGTTTTAAAACTATGAGACTGATGACAAAACGTAACGAGTCAAAACGAACAATATCTGTTAGCGGTGAGCTTGGTTGTTACAAATGGTATTAGAGCCACACACGGCAGGGCAGTGTGCCAAGAGGATGCTAGCCCCTAAAAAGGTAGATTATGAGTTCCCACATTGATTGGACCTGCGGTGTGCTATATAACGAGGATGCTGGCCCCTAAAAAGGTAGATTATAAGTTCCCACATTAATTGGAGAGAAGAACGAAGCATTCTTTACAAGGGTATATAAACCTCTCTCTAATATATGCGTTTTAAAACAGTAAGACTGACGACTACACCTAACGAGCCAAAACGGACAATATCTGTTAGCAGTGGACTTGTGTTGTTACAGATGGTATTAGAGCCACACACACATTGCAGGATGGTGTGCCAACAAGGACACTAGCTCCTAAGAGGTTAGATTGTGAGATCCCATATCGATCGGAAAGGAGAACGAAACATTCTTTACAAATATATAGAAACCTCTCCCTAATAGACGTGTTTTAAAACCGTGAGGCTGATGGTTATACGTAACGAACAAAACCAGATAATATCTACTAGAAATGGACTTAAGCTCTTACAGCTTCGTTCTTCTTTATAATAATTACGAAATCGTGACTTTGTTAGAGAAGAATTGGATCACGAGAAAATCAAAATCGTATCCATTCCCCAATCACAATTACATAACTTTTCAATTCATTATCATCAAATCAATCCATTAAACACACAATTAAGAAACAGGAACACCCCACAAAGCACAAACAGTCTTAATCAAAAACATATCAGCAGAAGGAACATCTTTAAGAAACACAGAAGAACACCGATTAAGCTTAGAAATGGCTCTGCAACAAGACGGATGAGGAGCCACCGCTTGCTTCATCACATCTACCACACACTTGGTCATCTCCGAAACAGCCGACGTGCAACCAAACAACGAGAACCCTTCCGCTGCGAAGGGATCAGGCGCCATCGCGGGTGATGCCAAAATGGCTATGCAAACAAGGCATGCAGCTGCTAGCTTCATCGCACATGCGTGCTAAGACGCTTGGTTTGGTGGGTGGAAGAAGATATAGGGAAGGCTTGGCGTGATTATGGGCATTGAAAACTGCAATTATGTTAAGGGTGTAGCTTTTTTTTGCGATGGAAACAGCCATAATTCGTGCTATCATTATCGTTGATGGATTCATTCACGCGGATTGTTGAAGTGTGATATTGAAGTAAAGAAATAAATATAGAACAATTGCTTTTTTTTGGTCTTTAATGATGAAGTATTCCAAGATTCCAAAAAAAGAAAAAAACGTTACTTTTACTTTCGGAGATTTTAATGATGTTTAATTTTGGTCTTAAAAAAAAGGCATTAGTATACTACTAACCATGATTTGATTTACTAAAATGAACTTAAAACGGTTTTGTTAATAAGATGTCCTGTTTGGGGAGGAGAACAAAACCACCATTTGTAACGGTGTGGAAACCTTTCCCTAGCAGACGCGTTTTAAAGCCTTGAGGGGAAGTCTGAAGAGGACAATATCTGCTAGCGGTGGATCTGGGTCGTTACAAATGGTATCAGAGCTAGACACTGGACGATGTGCTAGCCTTCTCGCTCTTTCCTGGGGGGTAGATATGAGGTGGTGTGCCAGTAAGGACGCTCGCCCCAAAGGGGGCGGATTTGGGGGCGGTTTCACATCGATTGGAGGAAGGAAAGAGTGCCAGCGAGGATGCTGGGCCCAAAGGGGTGGATTGTGACGTCCCACATTGGTTGGGGAGGAGAACAAACCACCATTTATATGAGGGGAAGCCCAAAGAGGACAATATCTGCTTGTGGTGGATTTGAGTCGTTACAGTTAGGGTTTAGGGTTTAATTAACTCATGATGCCTCAAATGCCACAACAAAATGGATGTTGACCGCTTTGGCTTATCCATTAGACTCACCTACAACTAGTAGATATTGTCTGCTGTGGCTCTACGTATCGTTGTCAGCCTCACGAAGGGAGAGGTCCACACTCTTGTAAATAATGTGGGATCTCACAATCCGCCCGTGTTCGTCTTCGTTGACACACTGCCCAATGTCTAGATTTGATACCTTTTGTAACAACCCAAGTCAACCGCTAACAGATATTGTTTGCTTTGGTTCGCACGGTCAGCCTAAGGGTTTTTAAAATGCGTTTGTTAAGGGAGATGTTTCCGCACCCTTAAAAAGAATGTTTCGTTCCTCTTCCAATCGATAAGGGATCCGTAAGGACCGTGATTGGACTTACTAACTTTCATTATCCCGACTGAAATAATGAGTCTCACAACAGTGAAGGAAACTCAATATCAAATACTTATCCGACCGTTAATCATTACGATACATTCTCTTCGTATTCAAATTTCTATACTTCATAATCATTCAAATAATCGAAAGATCATTTAGTTTAAAAAATATAAACACCCCACGAAGCACAAACACCTTTAACCAAAATCATATCACCGGTAGGTACGTCTTTGAGAAACTCAGACGAACAATCTTCAAGTTTAGAAATAGCTTTGCAACAAGACGAACAATAATATTAAGCACGTTTAACACTAAAGATCATAAATTCCATACAACATTCATATAAATTTCTTATTCATAGCGATTTTAGAGAACTTTATTTTTTGTTTAAAACGCTTAAACGCCTTACAAATTACATAACTTCTTAATAATATCCATATCCGCCGGAGGAATCATTCCATAGATTTTAGGGGCACAATCGTTAAGCAAAGAAATAGCTTTGCAACAAGAAGGATGAGGGCCAGTCGGAGCCTTGACCACGTCTACCACACACGATGATGCTTGCAATATAAACGGAAGGCAACTTCCAAAAGAAGCATCTACGTCAATTGATTGGTCGGGCCATTCCACCATCATGCGAGCCATTGTCGGTGATGCTAAAATGGCGATGGAGGCGAGGAATACGAATGCTAGCTTCATTGTTAATATGCTCGACCTTCTAGAGACGTTTTGTTTTGTGGGTGTGAGAAAGTTGTAGATCGTAAAGGTTCTTATATAGGGGTAAACATGGAGTACGTGTGTTTTTTTGGTATCTTTTCTGTTCATAAATTTAACCCTTATTTGAGTGAAATCCCATATTTATTAGAGACGGGAATGAAACATCTCTTATAAGGGTGTGAAAACCTTTCTTAGTAAAAAAATTTAAAACTCGTGAGACTAACAACGATACGTTACGATCATTACAAATAGTATTATAGGCATTTTAAACACATTTTAAAACTGTGAGGCTGACCGTTATACGTAACGAGCTAAAGTTGACAATATGTATCAGCAGTGGACTAAGTCAAACTATTAACATTTAGGACGATGATAACTAATGTTTTATCCACTAAATTATTCGCTATTATTATTATTATTTATTTTATTGTTATAATATTTAATAATAATTACCGCTCTATTTGAATAATTTATTTAACATTAAGGAATAATTAATAATTAGAATAATATGATGTTTTTCAGAAAAGAATAAATAAATAAATAATGGGTGTCATTTATTTATTGATGAGAGAGAAAATATTAGAATTTAAAATAAATAATAAAGGTGGGTTGAGGTCAAAATTGGTTGACTTTTGTTTTTAAACTTTAGATTATAAATGGTCATTAAGATTGTTATTTGGAGACTTTTCCTTTTAAATTTTTAAGTAATAATTGTTAATGAAGATACCAAATTTGTAAAAACTTTCCTTATAAACTATTTCTTTTTTATAGGAAATTGTTTGTTTTTTTTTTTTTTCTGGACTAAATTTTCTAAATAAAAATAATTTTTTTAAAATTACTGTGGTCAAATTTCACATGTCAGTTAGAGAGAGAAAGGAAACGTACATAAGGTGTGGAGATATTTTCTTATTAGATACGGATTTTAGAAATGTGAGACTGTCGGCGATATGTAGTGGGCCAAATTGGATAGTATCTGCTAACGGTGGGTGTGAGATCCCATATTAGTTGGAGAGGAGAACGAAACATTTTTTTAGAAGTAAGTGAAAACCTCTTCTTGACATACACGTTTTAAAACCGTGAGTTTGACGGTGCGAGGTACTGGTTGGAGTAGGGCTAGACCTTCACCACAGTAGACAGATTTAAAACTGTGAGGCTGATGACGTAATGAGCCAAATGGGACAATATCTACTAGCAGTAGACTTGAGCTGTTACAAATGGTATCAAAGCTAGGACGGTGTGCTAGCGATGACGTTGTACCCCACAAGAGGGTGGATTGTGAGATCACACATTAGTTGAGGAGGGAACGAAACATCCTTTACAAAGAAGTGGAAACCTCTCCCTAACGCATTTTAAAACTGTGAGACTAATGACGATACGTAATGGGCTTGTAAAAAAGTGGAAACCTCTCTCCTAATAGACACGTTTTAAAATCGTAAAGCTGACGGCGATACCTAATAGGCCAAAATGGACAATATCTAATAGAGCTATATTCCTCGCAAGAAAGTGGAAACTTATCACCAGCAAAGCATTTTAAAATCGTGAGGTTGACGACGATACTTAATCATGCCAAAATTCTTTTAGACGGGAAAAAACAAAGTTCATAATCACGGGAAAGTCTTTTAGATGCAAAA